CGATAGTCAGCAGGTCGGCATCGACCCGCAGCAACTGCAAGCACTGGTAAAGCTTGCCCCGCGGTACTTCATTGAACGCGCCACGGAGGTCCACGGAGAGTGTTATGCCACCATAGCATGGTGCGGATTTCGTGCCTTCTCGTCGTTGGTAGATGGAGGGCGTCATCGAGGAGATAAGTTTGCGTGTCGAGTGAAAGTGTGCCTGTACGCGCAGTAAACAATCCAAGGTGGATCGCCCAGCCGTGTACGCGAACTGCGGTAGGGTGAGGATTACAGGTGCAAGGATCTCCTCCAGTCGTATTTTGACCCACGCAGCGATGGCTTTGCCTGGCGGGGAAATCAGCCCCAACGGTCGCAGATTTTGTGGCTGGGTGGGAGGTTTAGGGGGCTTAGGGATAAACGCCATCTCGGTGTCCTTCCACCCTCCGGCCAGATCAACGCTAGCCCCTTCGACCCAGCTGCCTCGGAGGAAGCGCGACAGAAGTTGAGCGACGCCGCCAGCAGCGAGCCGCCACACTGCCGCCGGCGCACAGTCAGATGGGACAGCTTTGTTTACTCCAGTTTCAAGAATGGCATGCGCAAGCTCATCAGCAGTCGGCGCTGTGCCTCGCTTGAGCGTAGCAGGCGGGGGAGGTTCGGCATGGACTGCGAACACAGACTGGCAGTGCCGCTTTAGTGTGTCAAGCTCTGCATGCGGTGAAAGGAGCATTCCTTGCGCATCCCTGAACTGAATTCTGGTGCGCGGCTTCCACGGCTGTAATTTCTTTAGGGCGGCGTGCAGGGCTTGGGAGTCACGTCCCCTATCGGCTTCTTGAACCTGCGACGCTATATCCTGCCAGCGAGCATTCCGTCGTTGACGACTCTGCTTGTGGAGCTGTTTGGTAAGACGTTGGCATTGTATTTCCGCTCTCCACTGGCTGATAACCGAACTGAGCAGAGAGCGATAAGGCTGCCCTTCACCATCGTCGTCATCACCAGCATCCAAAGGTCTCGGCAAAGCTACGTTAGAAAGTGCTCGTGCGGTGTGCTTTCTGGCCTCGTGGAGCACCCTCCTAGCAGCCCAGAGTGATTGCAAGCTGTTGCTGATGTCGTGCTTAAGGGCTTGTTGATGAGGCGCATCTGCTGACTGCTTAGCCTTGAGCGGGAAGGCTTCGGTGCAAGCCTGCAGGAGGCAGGCGTTGATCGCAGCGTGTAGTTGGTCGGCCGTGGTCGGCACAATCAGGGCTCGCAGCTTGCGTTCAACCGTGACCTGAAGTTGCGCAGCCTCTGGCGTGTCATGCCGAACAGCATACCTCAAGGACTGGACATCAATGGAACACGTGTCGCGCGCCCGCCTTCTATGCATCCAGGCCTGACGTAATCTCACATTGGCAGCAACGGGCCAGTGCTTGCTGTCCTTCCATGATGCCAGGGGGCAGTGGTGCATCGGAGCGCTGCGGCGTGCCTGTACATCCGCTAAGTCCTTGTCAGCCAGTATGTAGTCAATGATTGTGCGATGACCCGCGTGCTGGTGCGTGAAAGCTTTGGGGCCCGACCAGGTGTTAAGGGTCATAAGATTCGCGGCATCGATGAAGGAACGAAACTTCGAAGCATCAGCATCTTGCGGGCCAGAGTTTGACAAGTGCCGGGATTCGAGGCCCAAGTCAGGCGGTGGACGGGTGTTCAGGTCACCCATAACCAGGCGGGTGTTTCTCACAGGGAGCTTTGTAGCAGTCTTGTCTAGCTGGTTCCAAATGACAGCCCGATTGGCAAGGTTTTCAGCCTTGGTGGCTGTGCTGCGCCAGACATACTGGTACACGCCCAACACGTCAATGGACGAGTGAGTGACAGTTAGGCCACCAATCTTAACATGGAGCAAGCGTCCCGGGTGTAGCACGCTGTATCTAATGTGCTCTGGACAGGCCAGTTTGGATGCCACCATGACAAGAATGCCCGAGTATTTGTCGTCCGTGGGCGCAGCAGCAGTGATACAGTACCACCGGGGCAAGGTGAAACAGCCCTCCGATTGCCAGTGAGTCTCTTGAACGACTACAACATCATAAGATTGGGTGTCCAGCCAGTGCGTGAACTCGGCCCATGCTGCAGAAGTGAATCCCCCGCAGTTGTAGCTGAGCAGATTCAGCCGACACCGGCTGTCACGACATGAAGTATGTGGGCGCCGCCTGGGCGGCTGCCGCACACCCTGGAGTGCATTCAATGTTTCCGCAGTGTGAACAGTGCCCCTGTAATGTGTTTGGCCATGCAAATGAGCACGATTTCGCGCTCTGCGATATGCACGCTTGGCAGCGAAGCTGAATTTGACTCGGGGGCCGGCTTCAATGCCTGCTTTCCCCGCCGAAGCAGGTACCGTCGAGGCGGCAGACTCGACAACCCTCAGTTTTGCAGCGGCGGCACCACTCCCTGTACTAAAAAGAGACAGCAGTAAGATGCACAGTAGGGGTAGTCGCCACACACTGCCCAGGGTAATTGGGACCCCGGCCAGCTCGGTATTTATGCGTGAGGGGTGTGTGTAGCTTGGGCTTGCAATGATGTGGCTGTTGAAAGCTGCAACTCGGAACAGGCCGTGGCGGCTTCGAGCGGGGTGCCGCCCGGATCTGTGTGAGTACGAGGCGTCTGTAAACGCGCCTTATAACACGGAAACGGCGCGAGCAACACACCAGTACAAACTTTCGGCGAACATATTGGCCTGGGAGAACCCGAACAGT